CTTGGCTTTTAAAAGCCATTTTATACTAAATGGAGCCAGTGCTCCTAGGGGAAATGGCTGATTCCAGACAGAACTGGGCCTGGAAAAGTAGAAACTTAGACACACCAAAGTGGCCAGGTGGTCAAAGTTATCAATGACAGAGAAGGGACAAGTTGACACCATGTACTCCGTGATGTGATGCACACAGCATCGCTTCTGAGACTCTGGCCAAGACAGCATGGCCTTAATCCAATCAGCAGGAGGAGTGAACAGACCGAAGCAGAGGACATCCCACAGCATGTTCAGCCTGGACTCATGCAAACTGTCCAGCAGAGACACTGACAAACTGCTACAGATCAGAAGAGACCGAAAAGACGTGACCAGCAAATGCAACATACATTCCCAGATGGAATCTTAGAACAGAAGAAGTGAGAAATTCTTAGAACATTTATCGAAATTTGAGTGATATCTGTGGACTGAATGGTATTGACTCAATAGTGTCTCAATGTTGATTTCCTAGTTTGGAGGGCTGTATACTGTTGTATAGGGATTGTGTCCTTGTTTCAGAAAAATATGCACCAGAGTATTTATAGATGATGAGGCACTGTGTCTACAGCTTGTCCTTAAATGGTTCACAAAAAAGACTAATGAAAATGGCAACACAAAAGGATATGGAGTAATTGTGGTGAGATGTCAACATGGGAGAATATGCAGAGAAAAATGGAGTTCTTGGTGCCACACTTTCAACTTTTCTGTTGGATTAAAATAATTTAAAAGTACATTATTAAAATAGGTCATATTTGGCTGAGCACCAGGGCTCACACCTGTAATCCTAACTACTTGGGAGGCTGAGGAAAGGAGGCTCATGGTTGGAGGCCAGCCCAGACAAAAAGTTCATGAAATGCCATCTCAACCAAACAGCTAGACGTGGTGGCATGCACCTGTCATCCCAGCTATGATGGGAAGTGTAAAACAGAAGGATCACAGTCCGGCTGCCCTGGGCAAAAAGCAAGACCCTATCTCTAAAATAACCAGAGCAAAAAGGACTGGAGGTGTGGCTCAAGCAGTTGAGTACCTCCTTTGCAAGTGCAAAGCCCTGAGTTCAAACACCTGTACCCCCCCCAAAAAAAGGCCTATTTGTGTTCATTTTTAAAATAAAATACTTTAGAATGATTCTGGACCTAAGAGTTGCAAACCAACAGCAGTGGCAGAAACAATGCATGAAAACTGGGACAATGACAGAGAACACTCTGCTTATGCCATGCTTCTCCTCTGGGTGCAGGGTATATAAGGTTGACAACTTTGCTCCCAGACTCAGTAGGATGCCAGGACAGGCAGGGTCAGCCTCGCTCAGCCTTACGGATCCAGGAGTGTCAGAGTATGCCCTTCTTAGCTACCCTGCAGTTTGTGCATTGTTGTGTGTGGTGCCAGCAAAAGTAGCGACACGATTTGTGCAAACTGCTCCCAAACTGAAGTAAGACTCAACTCTTACCTCTTTCCTTCCTTCTTCTCCTATTACAGTTAGGCTTCAGCTTGAGGACATAGAAGTCACTCTGGATGTTTTCTTTCTTTCTTTCTTTTTTTTGGCAGTGTTGGGTTTTGAACTCAGGGCCTCACACTTGCTAACCAGGTGCTCTACCACTTGAGCCACTCCACCAGCACTTCGGATGCTTTAAGAGGAATTAGATGCTTACAAAATCACTGGGAAAGCTGAAGTATCTCCAGGCTGTGTCCAGAGAACCAGAAGATGCTGCAGAACTGGCCCCCCGAGAAGTTACCACCTCTGCTCCAGTCAGATAGGTAGGTGATCAGGAGCACCTCCAGAGTTTTGACTTCAAGAGTATACCTGATCTAGACATCTAGAAGCCACTGCCACCGCCCCTTCTTGCAACTTCCTATCGATTTCCACAAAACAAGTTAGCAGACACTGTAATACTTTTGTAGAGAAATTCATTATTCTCTAATATGATATTCTGATTATGCCTGCTGGCAGAAAAAAATCAAAGAAACAAAGCCATATGTTTCACTTCTCAAATCTCAAATGAATGCACCTAATTGGGGAGCCTATTGCACAGCCAGGACACACAGGAAAGGAGTCTGGAAAAACAGGATTTCAGTTTCTCTGCCTCAGCACAACTGGGAGGTCTACCAGAAGGGGGCTAGAAGGGATGCTGAAATTTGGTGCCCCGGTCCACCACACTCTTCCCCACCAAAGGCTGGTGAGAGTTATTCTCTACTGTTAATCCCAGTGACTGTCAGAGCAAATCAGACATAAATTATATTTCACTTCCTCCTTAGATAGCTAATGCCTTCCTGGCAAAAATGTTGCATATGGAGCCTCTTACAGAAAGCCACATATGTGGAGAAAGAACTACACTACCTAAAAAGTGAGAGAAAGATGTTACGATCTGCACTAGTTTAATACTGACATGCCCACGGTGGCTCAGCAGCCATCCACTGTGTACCCATTAAACTGCAATTCGCTCTCTACTCAATCCCAGCTCTAGTCATTTTTTTTCCTTGTTTCAGTTTCAAATTTGGAAGAACCATCTCCTTTTGCATTAACAGAAAAGCAACTTTACTTTTAATCAACAGCAGAGGGCTGCCTATTCCCAGTCTGAGTTCCAGAAGTAACCTAGCTACAATGTTTTCCTTCTTAAAAGGAAAGGATGTGTGTGTGTGTGTGTGTGTGTGTGTGTGTGTTTTCCAAGCCTCCCTTTACTTTTGTGATGAACCAGAAAACAAGTGGCAATGACAGTGCTGAGAGGCAACCAAAACCAGAAGCAAGCCATTTTTGTCTTTTATATCAGATGCTGAGTTCCTTCAGGCAGAGACAGTCTTTTTCCTCTCTGTATCCCTGGTCCCTAGACTAAGGCATGCCACAGAGCACAGTTCATGAATGTCCACTGAATGAATAGCCCAGTTACAACTGAACAAGTGGGAGATACTCCTCACCGTGTCTCCTGGCTTCCTGTCTCACTCTCTTCCTTAATTTGGACGAAGTAGACATGAGGAGCTTGAAGGGCACCTGAGTCATGGAGCTCACAGGCAGACCCCATCATGCAGACAGGACAGGCCCCATGCCATAAACTTCCCAGAAGTACCAACTCTTCAGAGAGTTCAGGAAATCCTCATTCAGAGGGTGGAGTTTCTGGCTCCAGTTGCTCCTGACCCCCCACTAGCTGTCACACTTTGTTTCATTTCAGCTGGGCAGAGGAGTGAAAGACCAAAGAGACACAGATCTGTACCAAAAGGGTGAAAAAGGATGGTGAAGGTCACCTTTGGCAATAATTAGTCTGTGATCAATTGTCTCTGAGAGATCTGGAAAAGCAGGGCCTACCTCTGTGTGGGGAAGGAAGGTCCAAGGCCACCCTGATTGGGTTGGATACCAGCCTGAAGCTCTGTGCACTGTCTTCTGACCTCTGCAGAGCAACAACAGTGGGGGCATAGGCCACACATCACCTTTAGGTGTCACATACTGGAGACCATTCTTGAGGGACTACAGAGCTGCTGTCATCACCACTCTGGCTTAGCAGTAACTAAGAAATGGAATTCTTTTAAAAAATTTAATTTTTAGCTGATACATAAAACACACAAATTGTCCAATGTATATTACTTCGGTACATGTATACATTGTACAATGTTTAAGTCAGGGTAACCTTATCTATCTCCTCAGACATTTATTATTTCTTTATGGTGAAACATTCAAAAAGTCCTTTCTTCCAGCGTTTGAAATATCTAGACATGCACCCCGGAACCTTGTGTTCTTATCTAACTGTAACTGCAAACACACTGATCCACCTTTTCCCATCCCTCCTGCCCCACCACCATTCTAAGATACTGCTGTGACATGAACTCTTTTAAGATTGCGTATGAATGACATCATGCAGTATGTGTCTTTCTGTGACAGGTTTCTTTCACTTGGATGGTCTTCCAGTTCCATCCATGTTGCAAATGACAGGATTTTTAAATTCTCATCACATCCCATAAACACTCTCAAAACACCCTGAAATAACCTGCCCGTATTAACAAATTGCCTGCTGTTTATGAACAAACAGCTCTCAAGAGAAATGGGAAAGAAATTTGAAGACATCAACCTGCTAAGAAAAGGCACTCTTAGGACACTGTTAGGTGCTCCCTAAGCAAGCAATGTAAACCAGGCCTGGGGAATTTCAGTTAATTGGGTCCAATCTTGATGACAGCTACACGTGACAGTTTAGCCAGTTCAACCAGCAACAGAAACGCATGCATTGGATTTTTCCCCTCAATCTGAACAGGCCACTGTGAAGAGTACACAGCCTCTTGAATTCCCACACATTCCCATTTTGGGGACAATGGCCAGCCACATCTCACTTAAAATCAACCACCTTTCCAAAAGGGGCCTTTTATTATGCGTTAAGGCATAATCAGCTTGCGTGATTTATATGAGAAGAGGCAGCTTGGTCTTCCTCAAATCCTAGATCTTTCAAAGTGAGCCGCTGTGGAGGTTCTTTTAAAACATGCATACTTTTTTTCTTTTTTTTTTGGCTTCATTTTTTCACCTCAAAGGAGACCGTGAAACAAAGTGTGAACTTCAAACATTGGACACTTGTTGCTAAATAGGAAAATCTCTCTGCCTGCGATCCCATCCCCGTCTTCACTTAGAGGAATAAGAAAAGAAGGAAAACCCAAATAGCGAATGACAGTTTAATCGGAAGTGTCCAGATTAAAGTCCCTAAATTTCAGTGTACCGGGCCTGTGCCGGGCGGGGATGCCGAGCCCAAGGACGGTCGCCCCGCCCCCAGGGGTAGCAGGAAGGCGCCGGAGTTGGGGGGTGGGATGTGCCCGCCTCGCCCCGTGCCCTGCACTTCGCGGGCAGGACGGGGTGTGACGTCCCCAGGCTCTCCCCGCAGCCCCCAGTGTCCCCACGTCGCGCAGGGGGAGGAGGGCGCGGGCAGCACAGCCTCGGGGCCGTGGCTCTGGGCACCGCGTGATGGACAGCGTGATGGGAAGCCCACCCCGCACCCCTGCGGCCCCCGCACCTCGTCCTCCTGGAGCCCGAACACCTCCACCGCGCAAGTTGCCATTTCTGAACGCAGCCAGCAAACCGGACGCGCGCGCCCCGGGCCGGGGCTGGGAACCGTGGAGAGGAGGAGGAGGCGGGGAGGAGGCGGAGGAAGCCGGGCAGGCGCTGTCCACGTCGCCGCAGCGCCACCCGCGGCGAGCCGGCGCTAGTGGCTCGGGGCCGCGCGGCGGGAAAGGGCCGGTCGCGCCGGGGCCGCGCCGCGCGCTCCCAGGGCCGAGCGGCGGCGCGCGTGGCGGGGCTCCAGGGGGCGGGGAGCGCGCGCGTCCGCGGCCAGGGCGCGCACGTGGCGGCTCCGGGAGTTCCTGCAGCTCCGCAGTGGACCCACCTCCCCGCGGAGTCCTGCAGCCCCCGGGCGTGGCGTGGAGCAGGCTCGGGAGGCTGGGGAGGCCCGGATCGTCACCCCTTCCCCGGAAAACGACGCTGCGGTGTTCCTCTGCCACATTGCTCACTGAGAGCCAACCCCGAGCCCAAGACCCGGCGCGGGGCGCACGGCTGTCATCCCAGACGTCGGAAAGATCCCGGTTCGAGGTGAGACCCTATCTGCAAAATAAGTAAAGCAAAAAGGATCGGGGGATGTGACTCAATGGTAGAATGTCTGTATAGGCAGTGGGAGGCCCTGAGTTCAAATCCCGGTATTACCCTCCCCTCTCCCCCCAAAAAAAGAACCTGGCTTCTGTGTAGAGGCTTGCACATAGGTGTGCTTCAACTGAAAATGACAGTGCTCTCTTGATTTAGGCTGCCCAACCGTCTGCCAGGGAGAAAGCCCAGTGTGAGCAGGGCAGCAAATGGACAGGACAGACAGGGTCTCTCCAGTCTTGGACTCAGGATTTGGAACTCTTCAAACAGCACTGATGCATGAGCTATTCCAGCCTGAAAGCCCGCCAATAGCGCCCCGCCCCCAGGCTTAACCTCTAAACCCCCTCAGTGTAGCCTGGACCGGCAGCCCCCCTGGAAGTAGTGAAGAAGAGGGGGATAACATGAACGGGGCCTCCCGTGCTTTAGAGACGTGTTTGATGGGTTTATAGTATGGAAAGACCTTCACCAAATAAAGCACCCCGGAAAAGAAAACGATAAGCACCCATAGCTTAAGTAACAGTGTGCGTGTGTGTGCACGTGCGTGTGTGTTTTCAGACGTGGTCTTACTGTGTAGCCCAGGTTAGCCTTCAACTTTTGACCCTCCTACCTCCACCTCTCCAGGGCTGGAATTCTAGGCCTGCACCACGCCTGGTCAGATCTGGTAACTTGGCGTTTTCCTAACAGTTACTGAAATTTGCCAAGGTGAATTCTGAATCTAAATTTAATTCTCCTCAGTGAATTCAGACCAATTGTGAATGTTATTGGTCAGCTTAAGATATGCAAAGGTGGGAGAAGAGCCCATATTGATTTGTTACAGAAGGTTTTGTTGTACTTCATGTTTAGCAGGCTCGTTTATGCATATTACTTGTCAGAATTCTAATACAAAATCCAAATTTTATCATCTGTATGAGAGGGAAAGATGTGGCAGCTGAGTAAATATGAGCACAATATTCCTGAACAGTCAGAAATTGTTCACTTACTTAAATCTGAAGGGCTATGGTAGGGCTGGGGATGTAGCTCAGTGGTAGAGCACTTGCTTAACTTGTATGAAGCCCTGGATTTAGGTCCCAGAACCGCAAATATATAAATAAGATATCATAGCATTAATTTCTTTGTTTTGTAAACTGACAGATCTGTGTTTTCTGTGATAAGAATAAAATAATCCTAAAATGTTCAATGTGCCCTTTTATTGAGAATATTTTTCCCTAAGGCCTCATTATATAATTTTTATATTTGATTTTAAGTAGCTCATTCATGTCATTTCAGGGCACAGTTACTAACATGTGCAGAACCCACTTCCATTACTGCTAATGAACTCAACAGACAGCCTAAAAGGGGTAATGAAATCAAGGAGAAATCCCCAGGAGATGATAAAGCATTCAATGCAGCCAACAGGTAGACATGAAGATACTTTCAGATGCCTCTGATTTCACCCACAGATTTTTTATTCTTTTTGCCCAAATCCGAAATCATAAGGAAGAATTATGCAGGCAGCTACTGATATAAGATGAACCAGAGAAATTACTATATCCCAGAAGAAAGGAAGGAGGGACCCTGTGCAGTGCCAGCTGCCCAAAGTTAAAAGAAGTTCAAATAAAGGTGCAAATGGCTGGTGACCTAACATCAACCACAAGTCAAAAGCCGTTTGTTCCTATTGCTCAACTGCATTGTGTGTTCATGAGGTCTTTTGCACACCTAGGCTGGCTTCAGTTCAATTCATGCTGATTTCAGTTTGGGCGACTAGAGGAGGCACATGTGAAAAATGTGATATTTATAACACTACGTCCCACATCTTACGCCTCTGCTAGGGACCATCTCAAGTAAAAGCCAGGCAATTCTCACGCCCTCTAAGGGCATCCCCATTCTGTCTCTTACTCTTGAACCTCTTCTCCCTCTAAACTGATAAAGGAGCAATACATGATTAAAAATCAATATACTGATCTAGACCATCTAGAAATTTCTGAACCTAACCCTCTTTATCTCTGTGTATAGTATTCATTGTAATGCAGAAGTTGAAGTTGTTTAAAGGATGACCCCTTGGGATAAAAATTTGGTGTGGGGTGACTGATCTAACATATGAAAAGTAATTTAGTGTTGATTAGAATTCTCTAAGGAATTTTAAAAAATCATATGGAAATTCTCCTTTAATTCTCTCTCATTTTGTATCTGCTGGCTGTCTCCCTTTTCTCTAACACTGTTTGAGCTCTTAGACGGTCATCCTTTCTCCCACTGTAAATTTCATAAAGTCTAGGATTTACAATGGTGACCCATTGTTTTCACCATGCTTCTGGTACAATCTTTGAAAAGTCTGTCTTAGACCCAGAGCTCAGTAGTGCAAAAAATGTGTGTGAACTAAGTTCCTAAAACACAAAAACTGTGTTTAGCATGTCCCAAATTGTAGAAACTTAAAAAAAAAAAAGAAACCAAAACCTAAGTATTGAGTACATACAAAAGACTCTAAAAATATAGTCACAGTCACAATAGTAATCACCCATGTAGTAAGAAAAAGAATATTACCAAAACTTTATTTTCTTTATATTCTCCTAGTGATTCCCTTTCTTCCCTGCCAAGAGATAACTACTATTTTGAATTCTGTGGTTAGCCTTTTTTATTTTTAAAAGTTGTTTCATCGCACATGTATGTATTCATAAATAATACGTTCTTCATTTTTGCTTCTTGGAACTTCATATAAGTGAAATCATGAAATGACTTGTTTCTATTCTCCACGACAAGGACAGGAAAGTAACAGATGAGCCTGAAACATCTGGTTTTGCAAGCAAATAAAGTAATGACAGAGACACATGAAAGGGACACAGGAGCCAGCTTGAAGAGGCTTCCACTAGCCAAATATGCACTAATTTGATTACCAAAATAAATTACAGTAACAACAGATTAAAATCTAATGAACAAATTTGGTGCCATGTGTCCATGTAAGTTATAACCAATGGGTAAATTCAAAGTTTGCAAACAAGTGAGACTTTTATAGAGTTCAATATACCTTTCCACAGAACACTTATTAAATACTAGGAGAAAAAGCTGAACGACATCGGGTTCATCAAGTGATCAGCATGCACCTCAGCGTTCCTGTAAGATGCGGTGAGAACACAGCATCACTTCAGTGCTCTTCCTGTCTAACCTGAACCTAATGTGAAAGAGCATAATATAAACTGTCTGGGGAATCATCTCCAAAGGCATCATGGACGTGAGGAACTGTTCTAGACTGACAAGGGGAAAGGGATTGCATTGGTCGGCGTTCTCCTGAAAAATAGAACTAAGAGGATTCACACACATGTGAGAGACAACAAGGCAGACATTAGAAGGAATTGGCTCAGTGATTTATGGGGTTGCAAGTCCAAAATGTGCAGCATGCGACAACTGACCAGAGAGATCCAGGAGAGCCTGGATAGTGTGCATAAATCCATTGTCTGTCTGCTGAGAACCCTTCTTGCTCAGGGAGGCTGGGTTTTGTTGTTGTTGTTCTATTCAGGCCTTTAATTGATTGGAGGGCAACTACTTTATCACCAATTTAAAAGTCAATTTCATTCAAAAACACCCTCCAATTTGGCACAGAAAATTAACCACTGAAACATGACAAAGGCAACTCATGATTCTGAGCCCTGTCACTATAAAATACATGATTTGGGCATTTTCTGAAATATAAATGTGTCTGAGGATTAGAAGTTGTGATGTGTGAACATTAATTACCAGGTTTTGTAGCTTTGTGGTAAGATTGTCCATCTTTGTAAGATGTACCCAGTAAGGTCTTAGGGAGTGTTGGAGCTGGAAGTTGGCAAAGTACATTTCAAACAGTTCAAGAAGAAAGTTCTCTAAATTAAACTTTCAAACTTCTCTGTAAGCTTGAGGTTGTTTCAAAATTTAAAAAAGAAGAAATGAAATAGGGCTAGTTAAAAATAAATGACTCCAGAGCTGGTTTGTGGCTCAGTGGTAGAGCACCTGCCTAGCATGAATGAGGCCCTGGGTTTGATCCTCAGAACCACAATAAGTAAGCAAATACATAAACAAATAACTCCAATTAAAGGAACCAGGGCCCCATGAGATATAGCAGGAAATGTACCCAGTCTTGAGCATCTTGAAGTGCCAGAAATGCAGGAAGAGAATGGAAGGAAGGAGAGAGGGGAGGGGGGTTGGAACCAAAACCATATGAGCAACAAAATAAAGCAGTGTTGAATTATAACTCAAAATATAAAGTAAAAAATATAGATGAGCCCATACTGACACAAATAAATGATTAAATGAACAGGGTCTCCCCTGTTCCTCACAGGCATACCTCTGTGCAGAATTCCAAATTATTATAGTTGTGACAGATACTCTGTGTGATGGCTCATTTTATATACCAACTTGCAATGCGCAGGTAGCCAGTAAAACCTGATTTCTAGTTGTGTCTCTGTGTTTCCAGGAGACACTAGCATT